TTTTCCTTAGATAGAAAACTTTGAATCAATCTGACTGGATGATCTGGTGAACTAGAAAGTGCCTTGAGATGACATGATGTGAATCGGAGCTATAGAAATAAACTGAATTTAATTGAATTTTAGTTTTACTTTTCCTCTGGGCCATTCCACTTTATTCCACATAACTTAATTCCTGGACATCTATGGTTTGATTTCTATGGAGGTGTGAATTGCATGGATTGTTACTGACATCTGGTGGAAATGTCAATAGCACCTCTAGAAATAGATTCACTGAGGAAAAAGGAAGGAGATCTCAATACTGATTTCACCTGCTGTATAATAACGCAACGTAACAGCTGCAACAGAGACGAGAAAAATGAATGGAGCCCAGTTTGTTTATAGAAAAACCCTGAAGGAGACAGGAGGGTCTGGCTGCAGAGTGGACAGTGCTTCTCCTGCACGGTCCGGACCAGAAGTTTATTCCTGACATTTTGTTGGAAGCCTTCAGGAATAGCTCATAGCATGTATGAGCTTCTGGATTTTATTCTGTAAATCAATTTATTGATCGCACAGCGGGGAAATTCCCTCTCTGTATTTAACCCATCTGCTTAGGGAGTAGTGGGCTGCCATTGTGCGGTGCCCGGGGAGCAGTGTGGGGTAAATGGTCTTGCTCAGGGACCCACAGTGGCAGGCTGTGGGGATCGTACCGGGTACTTGCAACATGTAAGAGGACAAAGCACTTCTCTAACCACTAGGCCACCATTCCCCCCTGAGAAGAAGAGTTCAATTTTTTTCTCGAGGCAACAGCTCCCTTAAATCTGCCTTTTCCCTCCTTCCCTACAAACAAAACAGGTTTTATTGTATATTTTTTGAGTGATTTTCGTTTGCTTATTCCAACATGATCCATCTCTTACAGATACATGTTTTAATGTGACTCCCGCTGAAAGTTCTTTACAAGTTAAATGCTGCATCACATGACTGCCGGAAGGAGGGAACATGGACCCGGAAGAATATGGACTAGAGTCCTGCACGGGTCGAGTTTTACCAACCCGCACCCGCCCGAACCCGTTAGGATGACTACTGAACCCGACCCGTCACCCGCGGATATCTTCAATTCAAATCCAAACCCGACCCGACCCGACCCGTTGATATTTAACCCGCAACCCGACCCGTTAAAAAATCAAGTAATAGGCTATAGTACGCTGCGCTGCAGAACAGTGCCATTAACACTGCAGCAGACGTGTATGCACTGACTGTGGCCTTTTTGGAGGGAAGCCCACACTGCCAGCAGGGCTTTAAGCTACAACAAGGGTGACCCCAGTGCCTGATTAATATAACATTTCTGATGTCCATAACAACACACACGCATAAAAAAAAAAAATTGCCAACTACCCGCCCGCACTAAAAAAATATCCGCCCGACGACCGACCCGTTTAATTTTATTTATGTATTTTTCACCCGCAAAAGAGCATTTTTGCGGGTGACCCGTCCCGTTGCAGGACTCTAATATGAACTCAGAAGAACATGGACCCGAAAGAACGTGGACCCGGTAGAATGTGGACCCGGTAGAACGTGGACCCAGAAGAAAGTGGACCCAGAAGAACATGGACCCGAAAGAACGTGGACCCGGTAGAATGTGGACCTGGCAGAACGAAGCCCCGGAAGAAAGTGGACCCGGAAGAACATGGACCCGGAAGAATGTGGACCCGAAAGAAAGTGGACCCGGTAGAACGTGGACCCGGTAGAACGTGGATCCGGAAGAACATGGACCCAGAAGAACGTGGACCCGGCAGAACGTGGACCCGAAAGAACGTGGACCCGGTAGAACGTGGACCTGGCAGAACGAAGCCCCGGAAGAACGTGGACCCGGAAGAACATGGACCCGGAAGAATGTGGACCCGAAAGAAAGTGGACCCGGTAGAACGTGGACCTGGTAGAACGTGGACCTGGTAGAACGTGGATCCGGAAGAACGTGGACCCAGAAGAACGTGGACCCGGCAGAACGTGGACCTGGTAGAACGTGGACCCGGTAGAGAGTGTGCCCACGGTAGAACATGGACCCGGCAGAACGTGGACCCGGTAGAATGTGGAGGTCCCAGTAGAACATGGACCCGGTAAAACGTGGACCCCGAAGAAAATGGACTCGGTAGAACCTTGCCTTCAACATCCTTCCAAACATTGTGATGGGCTTTAATTAGGCAGGATTTAGGACCCAGATGAGGGAACCTGCTGCAGCAGTAAACCTACACCTGGTACCGCAGGAAATGGGCTGGGCCAATCAGGGAACAACAGAACCGTGCCAGTCACAGCAGCTCAGTCACATTTGCCTTTCAAATAGGTGGGCTGAGCGGCGCTACCGGGCCCCAGATATCAGAACCTCAGAACTACTGCTGCTCCGCTGCGGTTCCATACTTCTGTTCTACTGACAGAGGTTAGCCGTTTTAAATGAAAGCCAAACTTTTAATTCCTGATTCAACGGATCCTGGAGTCCTTAGTGTTTTTCTAGAACCTCAGAGGTCAGACAGGTTTCTATAGTCCCAATGACCCATCAGAACCAGCTTCATCTGGACCTCCCAGCAGAACATTCAGAGGACCAGCTGCTTTGCTGTCCATCCAGGTTCCAATGACCTTCTAAAGGTAGAACCACTGCTGGTTCTGACCTCAATGATCTCCCAGCCTGAGGGAGGAGCGGTACCGTGGAGGTTAGAACGTTCTTGGTGGTGTTGGATCTCAGGTGTGAAGCTCCATGGTTACATAAGTTCTGCAGAGGACCAAAAACACGACCCCTGGAGGCAGAGGAGGAACAGTCTTTAAAAATGGCTCGAGGTTCTGACTTTCACTCCCAGTAAGCACCTGTGGGATTTACTGGTCAGAATGGACGTAAGGGATCAGGCGGGTACCACAGAACCTCAGAACCTCTTCAGAGGCGGAAAGTTCTCTGAGCAGCAGGCGGCTCCTTCTGAAGCCTCCTGCTGTGGGCCCCACCCACACAGCCTGAGCTGAAGACCACAGCCATGACTCACTCCCTCCTTTCCCTCTGCGCCCTTCCCTACATGTCTGTCTCTCTGTTTCTACATGTCTCTCTGTCCCTCCATGTCTCTCTGTCACACAGTCGGGCCAGGGAAATCGGGTTCCTCGGTTCTTTAAAGAACTACTTGTTGTTTAGAGAGAAAGTAGAACTCTGTGATCCTGAATCTCTGAGTTGTTGGAACCCGCCCTGAAGGCAACACAGACTGGAGAAAAGCCAGACCAATAGAACCTTACCTGGTCTCCAAACGTCTCACAAACAGCAGAAACCTCCACAGCACCGTAAAAAAAATCTATGAAAATCCAGAAGTGCAGTAAGAGGGAAAAACTCTTTGGATCCTCTTTTTTCTGCTGTTGTCTGCTTTCTGCCTCCTTCCTCAGAAAACCAGCCGGACCAGACAGAGCAGCTGCGACGTCATGAAAACACGAAAGCACAAAGGCTTTACATGTTCTGATCTGTCTGTTTCCACTTCTGTAACCCCAAACCTCATGAATAAATAAAGGAAGACACACCTACAGCATTCAGGGAGGGAGGAACCCGGCATCCTGCTGCCTCGCCCTCCATGTCAGGCTGCTGAGCAATCACAGCGCAGGAAAACAGCATATAAAACCCCAAACCTGATCCAAGACCAGGTCCTGATTGCAACTCTGACCCAACCGTGGAAATTCAAAGTCAGAAACAGGGCCGTGCACAGACTTTGTCAGGGCCAGGGGCGTCCTTACCCTGCATGTCACTGGTCAGTAAGTTAGCACCACCAAACAAGACTTTCAGGTTGAAGAAGAACGTCTGTGATGTTCCAGCTAGCAATCCGGTGGTGAACAAGACTGTGGAAGTACGACCGTGTCACAATTGGTGACACACGATCATGGGATCTCCCGTGTCACCAATTGTAGCCAATTGGAAGAAATGGAGAAGAGAGCTTTGGACACCTTCAGAGGAACACCACCCACGAACTGGTTTAGATCTGTGGATGACACGTTGGTCAATATCAAGTGAAAAGAAGTGTAAGTATTAACTTAGTGGACCACAACATGCGGTTCACCAGAGAAGATGCCAATGCCAACATGTTGCCTTTTTTGGACTGTTTGGTGAGCATGGAAGGAGATGGAAACATCAACATAGAAGTCTATAGGAAGTCCACTCACAGAGACCAACATCTTCTTTCTGACTCCCACTACCCACTGGAACACAGACCTTCAGTCATCAGAACCTTCCAGCAGCGGGCCGAGCATGTCCCTACTAAACCAGAAGCACAAAGAACAGAAACACATCAAAGATGCTCCGCTAGACTTCCAGGTTATGGCGGCCATGTGAGGACGTGTATTCGCTGCTCTGCTGAGCAGCAAATGAGCTTGTGAGTTCGGAATAATGCCTAAAGCAGCAAAAAGATCCAAAGAAGTAAGTGAAAAGGCGAAACGACATAAGCTAACGGAATACCACCTTTAAGGTGAAATACAGAAAGCTAATGCTAGCTCATGCTCGGGTTCCGATGGCTGCCGCAGACAGAGAAGAGAACCCGAAGTCTCAAAGCAGCAAGGTGGACGAAATACTTTCTGTTGGTAATTTGATCCAGAAGGATTTTTTCCTCCTGATTTAACAAAGTTTTGGGCTCCATTGAAAGTGTAGGAAAATATATAAATAACTGTACCCAACGAATCAAAGAAACTGAAACACGCATTTCTGATGCGGAGATAGTAAGGCTAGGATCGAAGGTGGATGCGCTGGAGTCCAAGAAGAAAGACTTGGAAGATAAAGTTACGGATCTGGAGGCTCGGTGGAGACAAAACAACCTGAAGAGCAGAATCCATGTGAGTTCTTAGAAAAGTGGATGCTGGAGACCCTCGATGTTGGAGCGGATCGAATTGGACCCAGGAGAGAAAGCACGGCAGCGTCCCGCACTTTAATGATGAGATTCCTCAGCTACAAGGATAGGCAACGTGTTGCTCTAGCATCAAGAACTAATACTGACATTCGATACCAGAATCATCAAGTCCGGTTCTACTCAGATACTGTGGCGGATCTTTTCCAGCTTCAGACGCAGTTTGACCCGATACGCATGGAACTACGCAAACTGGGTTTGCGCCACAGGGTTGCTCACCCAGCCAAGCTGCTGGTGACTTATCAAGACCGAAGTCATGCTTTCAAAACAGCGGCGGCTGCACATGAGGCAGCAAAGGGTTAAACGACCATACGGTTTCTTAAATTAACAATTTGGGACTTCCTATAACTTTGTATTTGCCTTTATTGGTCATTTTTATTGTTGGTGGAACAACAGGGAAATATTACAAACACATTTATTTCTGCTTAGGTTTTGCAAGAGGAAGCATGCACATACCGGTTGGTGTGCATACTAATATGTTAGAGCCCATGAGCAAATATAAGGAAGATAAAAACTTTTGTTTTTGTTATTTTTGATATTAGACTGCTCCTCACTGCGTGTGGGTCGGTCACACGCGATAACGGGAGGTGCACGGAGGGGGGAAGTAGTCCCTCGGAAGTTGATGTGTGAACCTAGGGTTAGGGGATATGTTGTGGGTTTTGTTCTGTTGTTCAAGCTTCTCAAATGTCCATGTTTGTGTGGGCTAAACTTTGTTTTTATTTCTTCTCCATTTCTGCTAATTTGGTGGATCTTGCTTGTCACAAGCTTTAAATCTTAAAATGGTTACATGGAACCGCAGGGGCCTACAACGTCTAAAGGTCATTAATAAACTACAAGATTTGAATTCAATAATAGTATTTCTACAGAAGACGCATCTTATGGAAGAAGATGAGGGGCGGGTCAGGAGGAGGTGGCGAGGCAATGCTTACACTTCAACATTTTCTTCTCGATCAAGAGCGATTATCACTCTTTTCACAAATCCGTCCCATTTTTAGTAAACAATGTAATCAAGGATCGGAGAGGTAGATATTTGATAGTTCAGGGCTCTTTACTATCTGAAAAAGTTAACCTAGTTAATGTCTATGGTCCTAACACAAATGATTCTGGCTTCTTTCAAAACCTGTTTCTCTTAATTTAATCGTTGCAAGGGTGCTTTGTGATCGCAGGGGATTTTAATTGTACTCTTATTACAGAAATAGATAGATCCACGGGGTTAGATGTGACACATAACACCTGTAGAAAACCTATACAGATGTTTATAAAAACTCTTAGACTGGTAGACATCTTTAGGGAACTTCAGCAACAAAACAGAGCCTGGTCATGTTATTCAGCAATATTGCAGACCTTCTCGCGAATAGGTTATTTTTTAATTTTATCAGAACTGATATCCAAAATTAAAAACTGTGCGTATGGGAACATAGTGATTTGAGACCATGCTCCATGCTCTCTAAGCTACTGTGATAAGAACCTTACAAGGGATCTCACTAGATGGCGCTTTTAGCATCAATGGTTGCAGGATAAGGGTTTTGTTAGGTATATAAGAACACCAATTGATGAGTTCTTTGAATTAAACGTAAATCAAACAACAGCATGCATCAGAGGGGAGGCCTTTAAAGCGTTTATTAGAGGCCATATAATTAGCTTTACAGGCAATAAGTCCAAGGAAGCTAAGACTAAAAGGCAGCACCTAACAAATAAAATAAAGAACATGCAGGAGAGGGTTTTCAAACAAACGATACCGAGTTGAAAATAAAAACAGCTGTTGATCCTCAGAGCAGAATATGAAAAGATGTCAAGTCTCAGCTGCATCCAGTCTCTTAAGATTGAAACAACATTTTTATGAACAGGAGGACAAGGCTGGAAAACTTCTAGCTTGGCAGATTAAACAGCTTGAAAAAACAACTTTGATTACATCAATTGAAACAAAGGATAAAACTCTAATAGATCCAAGGGATATTAATAATGCTTTTAAACATTACTATCAGAAATGATATGACTCTAAAGGAAAGTTAGACCAAGAGGAATTATACAAATTTCTGGATTGAATATATACATATAGAGCAGTGTAGATTAGACGTAAATATAGAAATAAATAAGCAACCAGGACCTGAAGGTATCCCCATTTAAGGACAAATTGCTCCCCCCCCCCCTTTTAGACATGTTCATGGAGTCATTTAAAAATGGCAAATTGCCTTCCTCTTTGCTTTCAGTCAACGCAGAGAAGGCTTTTGATAGGGTTGAATGGCCCTATCTTTTTAACATATTGGAAAGATTGAATTGTGGTAGTAACTTTATTAAATGGGTTAAATATTATTGATAATCCAACTGCAGAAAAAGGAAGGGTTGTCACCAAGGATACCCTCTCTCTCCCTTATTATTCACATTAGCAATCGAGCCTTTTGGCATCAGTTGTTCGTCTCTATCCATGAATCTGTGGGATCACGGTGGGTCCCACTAAGCACACCATTTCTCTCTTCGCTGATGATGTTATTTTATTTCTAACAGATCTGAAAAACTAAATTCCGGTGGTGATCGAAATGATTCAGGAATTTGGGAGAGTCTCAGGTTCCAAAGTAAGTAATACAAAGGTTACTTTATACTTTTATACTTTAAGTAGTTTTTGGAGCACATACTTTTTCACTTTTACTTGAGTAAAGAGGTCAAGTTGATACTTCAACTTTTATCAGAGTGTTTATAAACTGCAGTATCTATACTTCTACTTAAGTAACAAAAGTGTGAAGTTTTGACACCACTGCACACTACAACCGCAAAAACTGCTGCAATGGAGAATAATTACTATTTAATACCCTGTGCAATAACCTTTTTCTCTATATCTGACCTCCAGAGCAACAATCCAGTATAATGATCCTGCTATAGAAACAAAAAGCCGTCCGATGTGGACGCCCTGTTTATACGGTTTATATCCCACACTGCTTTTTCTTCTTTTGGCTTCTTCTTCTTCTTTCACTATTTGAGCTGATGGAGCGAGAAAAGTTCTCCACTGTGAGATTGATCAATCAATCAATAATTTCCTTTCCGATATCCCTGTAAATTATTAAATCTCAAAAAATTATGAAAAAGAAGAGCAACAGAATAAAAATTCGACCTTTCCAATATGGCGGCCCTGTTGACGCGGTAAGCTCTTCAAAGTAAAAGACCGGTTGAGTTTTCTTTTGAAAGTCCTAAGCGGAAGTGGTTCCACAGCTTCGTCCCTGTCCAACATGTCCTCCACGCTGACCCGTCAGTAGAAGTCAGTGGGTTTGTCCGTGGATCCTTTGCCCTCAGTGAGTATCCATTCCATGGATTTATTGTGTTTGGGTCACAGTGAGGTTCGGTTCCGTGGATCATTCCCGGTAACAAGGTCACGGTGCTAAGGTCCGCCCGGACCTGGCGGGCCGGTTCGGTCCTGCGGGCTGACATTTGGACTGCAGCCCACCTGGACCGGCCTGACGGAACCGGACCGGACCGGACAGGACCTTCGGCCCCTGAGCTGTTAGAAGATCTGGTTCAATCCAGAACCATGGTTCTGGTTCTGGGGAGCTTCCCTCTGCCCTGATTGGTTGATTTTATAAACTACGCATTCAAT